TTCTTTCTTTCTTTCTTTCTTTCTTTCTTTTCTTTCTTTCTTTCTTTCTTTCTTTCTTTCTTTCTTTCTTTCTTTTCTTTCTTTCTTTCTTTCTTTCTTTCTTTCTTTCTTTCTTTCTTTTCTTTCTTTCTTTCTTTCTTTCTTTCTTTCTTTCTTTCTTTCTTTTCTTTCTTTCTTTCTTTCTTTCTTTCTTTCTTTCTTTCTTTCTTTTCTTTCTTTCTTTCTTTCTTTCTTTCTTTCTTTCTTTCTTTCTTTTCTTTCTTTCTTTCTTTCTTTCTTTCTTTCTTTCTTTCTTTCTTTTCTTTCTTTCTTTCTTTCTTTCTTTCTTTCTTTCTTTCTTTCTTTTCTTTCTTTCTTTCTTTCTTTCTTTCTTTCTTTCTTTCTTTCTTTTCTTTCTTTCTTTCTTTCTTTCTTTCTTTCTTTCTTTCTTTCTTTTCTTTCTTTCTTTCTTTCTTTCTTTCTTTCTTTCTTTCTTTCTTTTCTTTCTTTCTTTCTTTCTTTCTTTCTTTCTTTCTTTCTTTCTTTTCTTTCTTTCTTTCTTTCTTTCTTTCTTTCTTTCTTTCTTTCTTTTCTTTCTTTCTTTCTTTCTTTCTTTCTTTCTTTCTTTCTTTCTTTTCTTTCTTTCTTTCTTTCTTTCTTTCTTTCTTTCTTTCTTTCTTTTCTTTCTTTCTTTCTTTCTTTCTTTCTTTCTTTCTTTCTTTCTTTTCTTTCTTTCTTTCTTTCTTTCTTTCTTTCTTTCTTTCTTTCTTTTCTTTCTTTCTTTCTTTCTTTCTTTCTTTCTTTCTTTCTTTCTTTTCTTTCTTTCTTTCTTTCTTTCTTTCTTTCTTTCTTTCTTTCTTTTCTTTCTTTCTTTCTTTCTTTCTTTCTTTCTTTCTTTCTTTCTTTTCTTTCTTTCTTTCTTTCTTTCTTTCTTTCTTTCTTTCTTTCTTTTCTTTCTTTCTTTCTTTCTTTCTTTCTTTCTTTCTTTCTTTCTTTTCTTTCTTTCTTTCTTTCTTTCTTTCTTTCTTTCTTTCTTTCTTTTCTTTCTTTCTTTCTTTCTTTCTTTCTTTCTTTCTTTCTTTCTTTTCTTTCTTTCTTTCTTTCTTTCTTTCTTTCTTTCTTTCTTTCTTTTCTTTCTTTCTTTCTTTCTTTCTTTCTTTCTTTCTTTCTTTCTTTTCTTTCTTTCTTTCTTTCTTTCTTTCTTTCTTTCTTTCTTTCTTTTCTTTCTTTCTTTCTTTCTTTCTTTCTTTCTTTCTTTCTTTCTTTTCTTTCTTTCTTTCTTTCTTTCTTTCTTTCTTTCTTTCTTTCTTTTCTTTCTTTCTTTCTTTCTTTCTTTCTTTCTTTCTTTCTTTCTTTTCTTTCTTTCTTTCTTTCTTTCTTTCTTTCTTTCTTTCTTTCTTTTCTTTCTTTCTTTCTTTCTTTCTTTCTTTCTTTCTTTCTTTCTTTTCTTTCTTTCTTTCTTTCTTTCTTTCTTTCTTTCTTTCTTTCTTTTCTTTCTTTCTTTCTTTCTTTCTTTCTTTCTTTCTTTCTTTCTTTTCTTTCTTTCTTTCTTTCTTTCTTTCTTTCTTTCTTTCTTTCTTTTCTTTCTTTCTTTCTTTCTTTCTTTCTTTCTTTCTTTCTTTCTTTTCTTTCTTTCTTTCTTTCTTTCTTTCTTTCTTTCTTTCTTTCTTTTCTTTCTTTCTTTCTTTCTTTCTTTCTTTCTTTCTTTCTTTCTTTTCTTTCTTTCTTTCTTTCTTTCTTTCTTTCTTTCTTTCTTTCTTTTCTTTCTTTCTTTCTTTCTTTCTTTCTTTCTTTCTTTCTTTCTTTTCTTTCTTTCTTTCTTTCTTTCTTTCTTTCTTTCTTTCTTTCTTTTCTTTCTTTCTTTCTTTCTTTCTTTCTTTCTTTCTTTCTTTCTTTTCTTTCTTTCTTTCTTTCTTTCTTTCTTTCTTTCTTTCTTTCTTTTCTTTCTTTCTTTCTTTCTTTCTTTCTTTCTTTCTTTCTTTCTTTTCTTTCTTTCTTTCTTTCTTTCTTTCTTTCTTTCTTTCTTTCTTTTCTTTCTTTCTTTCTTTCTTTCTTTCTTTCTTTCTTTCTTTCTTTTCTTTCTTTCTTTCTTTCTTTCTTTCTTTCTTTCTTTCTTTCTTTTCTTTCTTTCTTTCTTTCTTTCTTTCTTTCTTTCTTTCTTTCTTTTCTTTCTTTCTTTCTTTCTTTCTTTCTTTCTTTCTTTCTTTCTTTTCTTTCTTTCTTTCTTTCTTTCTTTCTTTCTTTCTTTCTTTCTTTTCTTTCTTTCTTTCTTTCTTTCTTTCTTTCTTTCTTTCTTTCTTTTCTTTCTTTCTTTCTTTCTTTCTTTCTTTCTTTCTTTCTTTCTTTTCTTTCTTTCTTTCTTTCTTTCTTTCTTTCTTTCTTTCTT